CGCCACGGCCCATGAACCACTAAATTTGTTGGCTCGCGGTGTCCCGAGTGAAAAATCTGCATCGAGGGACCTGTGAAGGCGACCGTCAGGTCCCACTATGCGGCCACACTGAAAGCAACAACTTTTCATACAGAAGTCCGTTTAAGCATTATTACCCGATTCCGGAAAGCTTTTCTTGAGCTGGAGTGAGCGCCGATATCCCAGAGGAACATTTGCTAGGCATAAGTCGACAAATAATGCATTTTCGATCCGCTATGGCCATCAGAATGAGGATGTGCCAAAATCACCTCTCCCCCGACATCTGCATAACTATAATTTGAGACCATAAGACAACGGAAAAGCAACCATCCCTCTTTTTTTTCAAAAGCTCTTTGCCACAGCCCACGAACCACTAGCAGTGTCAACTCGCCGCTACCCCAATGAAGAAATCCGTATCGTGGGACCCCCAAAGGTGACCTTCGGGTTCGTGATGAGGCCGCACTAGAAAAGCCACAACTTTCCATCCAGGAGTTCGTTTCAGTATTATGACCCCATTCTGGAAAGTTTTTTCATGAGACGGAGAGAGCGCTGATGTGCTTGACGCACATCGGCCGGGTATGTGCCGACAAATAATGCATTTTTGATCCCCTACATTCCACCGGAATGAAGATGTGCCAAAATCAACTCTCCCCAAGTGCCCGCATAACTATAATTTGAGACCATAAGACTATGGATGCGACAATTCCACCACCAATGCACTGGATCCCATCAGAACTTCGCAGTTAAGCATGCTTGAGCGAGAGTAGTACTGGGATGGGTGACCTTCTGAGAAGTCCTCGTGTTGCACCATTTTTTATAACCATCCCTCCCTTTTTTTTCATAAGTTCTTCGTGACGGCCCATGAACCACTAGCAGTGTTGGCTCGTGGTGACTCGAGCAAAGAAATTTGCATCATGGGACCTGCAAAGGCGACCGTTGGGACCCATGATGCGGCCGCATGGGAAAAATAATAACTTTTTGTCCAAGAGTCTATTTTAGCATTATGACCACATTCCGGAATGCTTTTTTCGAGCCAGAGTGAGTGCTGATGTGCCATAGGCACATCGACCAGCCATGGGTCAATGAATAATGTATTTTTGATCCCCTATGGCCATCAAAATGAGGATGCGCCAAAATCACCTCTCCCCTGGCATCTGCATAACTATAATTTATGACCATAAAACTACGGTGGAGACCATACCAGTACCAGTGCACTATATCCCATAAGAACTTTGCAGTTAAGTATGTTTGGGCAAGAGTAGTACTGGGATGGGTGACCTCCTAGGAAGTTATCTTGTTGCACCCTTTTTTATAACCATCCATCTCTCTTTTTTTTTTTTCATAAGATCTTCGCCACTATCTACGAACCACTAGCTATGTTCGCTCACTGTGACCCTAGCGAAGAAATTCATATCATGGGACCCATGAAGGTGACCTTCGGGTCCCATAATGAGGCCGCATATGAAAAGTAACTACTTTACCCCCATGAGTCCGTTTCAGCATTATAACCCCATTCTGGAAAGCTTTTTTGAAAATGGAGTGAGCATCAATGTGCCAGAACCGCATCGGCTGGGCATGCACCGATGAATAATACATTTTTGATCCTCTATGGTCACCGGAATGAGGATGCACAAAAATCAACTCTCCCTCGATGTCTGTATAACTATAATTGGAGACCATAACACTTTGGGTGTGACCATACCAGCACCAGTGCACCGAATCCCATCAAAACTCCACAGTTAATCATGCATGGGAGAGAGTAGTACTTGTTGCGGATCTATGGTTTATGATTTTGATGATAGCAAACATTCTTATTTCTCTATGACGGCCTTTTTTACTAACATTTCAGGTCCACACGATCAGACTGTAATTTAGAATCAGCTCAAGATTGGGTAGACTAAGTTTGAGTCAGTTTGTACACTTTTTTCCTTTCTTGAGTCTATTTTATTTGGTGTGGCTCCTGATGCTTTGTAACTTGGAAGATTTTCTGACTGTTCCATAGAGTTTACTGTTTTTGGTAACATCATCCGGGATAATAATTATATTGACCTGGACGATCTGTTCGAAAGTAGAAACCTTAATTAGAACATCCTCATTAAAGCAGCCGTTATTATGCAAAACACATCGTCCTGGATGATTCGGTATCGACGAGGATGATAGGCTCAAAACAGAAAGAATCTGCCGCCATATCTATTTAAGAATTACTTATTTTTGGACATCCTCCCGATGGATCATCCAGGACTATAAAATATCATTCAGGATAAGACAAGACAATTTTTCTAAAATTTCTCTGGAATTTATTGAAAGCAATTATGACTTGATTTCACGATCAAATTGTCCGGGATGATTGCAAAATTGTCCGGGATGATATGTTGGACGATTGGACATCGGATAGTTATTTTTCAGGGTGATGTTCAGGACGATATTCCATGATTTATACTGATCATCCAGGATGATATATTTTCGTCCTAGATGATATGAATAAATTTCCTATGATCGTTTCAAATCATCCCGGCTGATTGGGCTTAAATTGTACTGATCGTACAGGACGATATCAGTATCGTCCGGGATGATAATATTGACAGCTTGCACTAATGAGCTCATTTTGAACCCTTCTATTTAAGAGATATCAAGGCACTTTATAAAGTATCTTTGGCAGCCATTACAGCTTCATTCTTTAGGGGAAAACTTGAAGAGAGAGCTTGAAAGGGAGTGAGGAACGGGTGAAGTCTGAGAGGGAGAAGATCCTGTGAGGGGGGACTCATGGGAGTCTGTAGGGGGATTCCACACAGTTGCTCCGGCAGGATTGCACCTTAATACTGTCAAATTCAAGGCTTGTCTCGAGGGAAGTTCACCAAAGAAGAAGATTTTTTTGGTGTCAAAGGACCCAGTGACTCCGCCGCACCGGGGAAGGAGGAAGTGATTTTATAAGGGCTTCTCCGCCTAGCTGTGGGGGCTAAAGGAGAGACACTTCTTTTAGTGTATTTCTTGGAGGGTGCCTCCAAGGAGTGGACGTAGGTCAAGGTTTGACCGATTTGAAGCACAACCTACTCAGCATCAGTCAACTTTGTGATAAAGGCTTCATCATACAATTCTTTGCAAATTCATGCATTGTAAGTTTAAGTAACAACACTATTTTTCAAGGAAAAAGGATCAACAGTATCTACATGCTTGATTTAAATAACATTGAATGTGCTGCTTCATTTTACTTAAAAATAGTGATTGATGATTCATGGTTATGGCACCGTAGACTATGTCATGCAAGTTTGAAAACCCTTAGGAAAGTGACCTAGAAAGACCCAGTTAGAGGTGTCCCCAAACTCAAGTTTTCAAAAGATCACCTTTGTGATACCTGTCAACTAGGAAAGCAAGTCCACTCCACCTTTCACCCCACTAAGGAAATTAGCACCTCTAGACCTTTAGAAGTACTGCGCATGGAAACTATTAGCACTGCTAGCTTGGGAGGGAAAGTCTATGGTTTTGTGATTGTTGATGACAACTCAAGGTTCACTTGGACTAGATTTATTACTCATAAAAATGTGTCTTTTGAGTAGTTTAAAACATTTTCTACTTGGATTCAGAAAAAGCTAGGTTGTGAGATTTTGACCATCCATAGTGATCGTGGGGGAGAGTTTGAGAATGAAAGATTTAGAGATTTTTGTGAGGACAAGGGGATTAGCCACAATTTCTCAGCTCCTAGGACCCCTCAGTAGAACGGTATAGCTGAAGGAAGAACCGGACCTTGGTGAAAGCTGCTAGAGCCATGCTTGTTGAGTATTCACTTCCAAAATACTTTTGGGCTGAAGCGATTAACACAGCTTGCTATGTGTTGAATAGGGTCAACGTTAGAGCCAAATTAGAAAAGATATCCTATGAGATCCTTAAGGGTAGGACACCCAATCTTTCCCACCTTCATGTCTTTGGTTGTAAGGTTTTCATTCACAACAATGGGAAGTCTCTCTTGGAAAAATTTGATCCTAAATCTGATGAAGGAGTATTCTTGGGATATTCTAGTGTTAGGAAGCCTTTTAGGGTGTTTAACAAGAGAACTTTAGTGGTGGAAGAGACTACCCATGTAGTATTTGATGAGTCTGATCCTAAAAAGCATGGAGTTGAGGATGATGATGATATTGGAGAGATTGCTAGTGGAGTAGAAAATTTGGAAAAGGAAGTAAGTCACCAAAACATAGAAGGAGTAGGAGATGTCACCCAAGGAGTAGAAAATTTAGATCTGGAGGAAAGGGTTGGACCTTCTCAGACCTTACCTAAAGATTGGAGATACTCTACAAGTCACCCCAAGGATTTGATCTTAAGATACCCTTCTAATAGAGTTAAGACTGTTAAGATAGTTGCTATTTGCATGTTTTACAATTATGCAACTTGTATAGTTTTGAAGATTACAAATATTATTGTTTCAAATGTGTAGTTATCTCCTAACAATTTTAGAAAGATTTGTATTTACTTTTGTGTGTCCTAATATTTCAGGTTAAACAAGCTCTCAAACACGAAGTCTTCAAATCAAATTCAGCACGAAATACTTTTAGTTTTTTAAGCTTAAAATTATTATTTAAATTGAGAGGGAGTGATTGTAATTGAGTGAATAAAAACATACACACACACATAAAGAGATCATATAAAATTTATACTGATCGTACGGGATGATATCAGTTTGTACGGTACGATCAGACAGTTATCTCCTATTAAGATCACATGGAACGAATAGGAACTGGCTTGAAAAATTTTTTAAGTCCTATTCGTCCGGGGCAAAATTAAAAAAAGTACGGGACGATTGGCTCTCTGTAAGATTTTCGTCCAGACAAAATTAAATTATCATACATGACGAATTGCTCTCTGTAAGATTTTCGTCCACACGAAATTAA